AAAAAAAAAAAAAAAAGTAAGTAGAACAGAGGATCCTAAATACTGGAAGGGTAGAATTAAGGCAGGACTAGAGAGAAACTTAGTAAAGGTTACAACATGACAGCTAGACAAAAGGTATAAATTCACTTGTTTTAAGCCAGTGTAGGATGACAACAGTTACTAATAATACATATTTCAAATGGCAAAAGGGGGAAACTGAATGTTTCCAACACAAACAAATGAATAAAGGTTAAGATGATGAATATGCTAATGACCCTGATTTGATTACTGAGTAGTGCGTGTATGGAAACATTGCTATGAACCCCATACATATGTACAATTACTATGTGTCAAATGTGAAAATGCAGCCCATTGTTTGGCAAGAGTGATATCATTTTCAAGAAAAATCACCATGATAACCCCAGTGTTTGACACCCACATACCAAGATGTTCTGCAGCAAGGTTTTAACATCATGCCTATAACACAGTTAACACCACAAAAAGCTACTTCTCTAACCTCTCCAGCAGTCATGAATAACCTCTCCAGCAGTCATGAATTTCAGAAAGAAAGTCTAAGACATGACCAGAGGCTCATGTCTTTATCCTAAAAGCTTCCCATGTAAAGGATACTTTTGTAGGAAGCAGGAATATTGCTCTGTTCACAAGTTCCTATTAGATATTTCTTTCTGAAAAACTGGATTTGTCAACCTCTGTCTTTGATCTCTCAGCTCCCTCAGCCTTTGGTGGTAGATTTGCATATAGCTGCACACCACAAAGCATTTGATGAGCCATCAGGAGCTAAGAAGACAAAAATTTGGTTAAGGGAATGAAACATCTGGGAGAAATCCCAGATGGCCAGGGATGCGTATGAGTCTGTGGGGATGAGGGTGCCACGTCTGTTACACACTCATGAACATTTACTGCAAGGATGCCTCCTAAACAGCTTAGAGCTATTATCAAGGGACTGCTGTAGAGGGTGCTGTGGTAAGGAAGAGCCACAGACCAGTCACAACTATGGGTGGGCATCTTCTGTGGACCTTTGATTTGTCAACAAAGGCCCACCTAGAAACAGAAGCAAAAACTAAACAGCCAGTGGAGAAATTGCAACTAGAAAGGGACATGTGCCTTTCTACTCTTCTTATATCTATCTCTGTAACAAAATTGCAGACCAAGAGACCAAAATTCAAACACTATCATGTATATTTTTCTGCCTGAGGGAAAAGAAATGGAAACAACCAAAAATCAGAGGTGTCATAAGTAGACAACTATAGATGTCTAGACCCAATTGGGATGTGAAAACTTGGAATTCCTGGGAATATTATGGAAAGAAAGACTCTGAAGACTTAGAAGGCATAGAGCAGTGTGGCAAATGGGATCACCCCTCATGCAAAGGAAAGTGAAAGTTTAACTGCAGCAAATGAGTTCAAGCAATTCAGGAAACTCACTATCAGGGAATACTCTGTAGCAGACTCTTAGAGCTTGCAGAGGCCTTAAACAACTGTCTAGGGGACACTTGGTTGCTTGGATGGTCACACGAAGGACATCAAGTGTGGTGGGTAGCTTTTAGCTTAAAAGAACGCAGACAAAATGGGTAACCTCAATACCCATACACCCCTGTAGCAATACATTCATAACACAACACAAACACAAAGAATAATCTTAGGGACAGGATTTTTATAGCTATGAGGGAGGCTTGAGAGAATTAAGATTTATTAGGGGGGATGATCTTCTGACAGCCAATCAAAGAAGTCCAGGGGCTGCTCCAAAATTAGGAATGAGGCAAACTATCTATGCTCAGGTTTTAACAAGACCTGAGAAATAATTTTTGCTGCCAGAATGGAAAATAAATTGCTACACATGAACAGAAAGAATGGCATAGCACTTTGCTATCTTTTCTGAATCCTGTAGTGAATAAAGGTATATATAATGTGAGAAAGGCCACAGCAGAATTGGGAGCAAACAAGAAGATCAGGGACAAGGTCAAATTATAACCTGACAAAAGCCATTAAGGGGAAAAGGAAAACCCACAGAAGCAGTGAAACAAGGAAAGGGAGCAGTGAGAGTCCTGTTAAAGCAAATGTGGCATGAATTATTGGGAGCAGGAACACCCGAGGAAAATACAAACAACCTAATGAATGCTTTATTAGCAGCCTCACAGAGGGAACCACGGCCTGAGCAGCAGTTTTGTCCCTGCCCTTCCCTCATCTGGCAGATGAGAAAGAGGACAACCCCTTGACCATTCTGCATCCCTGGCCAATCAAGGGTCAATCCCAGGCCAGGACTGAGAATAAGAGTTGGACGAGAGTCAACCCTGTATTTGAGCATTAGGGAGCATCCCAACCCTCATATTGAGCTAGCCATTTAATATTCCTCCCAAATTAAATTACAACAACAAAAAGACCTTAGGAGATAATGGGGTACAATATACTTAACTCCATGAAAATACAGTTAAGATACCCTTGTCAGTTTTTGCCATTGATAGTTATGGGAACCAAAGATCCAAATGAAAGAATGTTAATAGCTTTAGAAATTGAAAAATCTGTACCTGCACCATTTATGGGGTATATTTCCTCTGTTCTAGAAAGCATTTAGTCACAGTTATTGTTAGGCAAGTCTTTTCAAACTTCAGTGAGAGAATTCAGATTAAAGATAATTCATGTGGAAAAGGCTCTTTTCAGGGAAGGGGAAATATGGGAGCCCCTATAACTTCCTATCTCTTGGTGCGTTGTCAAAGTTAAATAATTAAAATTGGTCAGGGGACAACATGCTGACATGAGTGCAACTCCTAAGGAACTTGTAAAGAGGCATACATATCCACTCAGCAAAAAGGTCCCTTAACTGTTCCCTCTGGTCTATACACAAACCAGACAGGACCTGGCAGATGACTGCAGATTTCTGGGGATTGAGCAAGGTAAGCGCAGCCAAACATGTTGCAGTTCCTGATATGAAGTGTGACAATGAAGTTCACAAACTCATCCTAGAAAGGATGGACATGCCTCCTTGATAAATATCATTACCTTCAAATACTCCCCTTGGCCTTTTGTTTAGTGATATTCAGCAGTGAGATATGTAGCACTTTCTCTAGGATGAGTAATCAGACTTCATTGTCAGATAAGGAATTACTCAGGTAGTCAACCACAAACTGTCCATGCTGTGGACACATTGTGCTGTGTTAGATTCTGGCTAATGCCTTTGCCAACATTCCTCTCTCCAAAAAATCACAAGACCAGTTTGCTTTTACCTGGCAAGGTTACCAGTAGACCTTCAAGTTTTGCTCCAGGACTATCTTCTCATTCCTTGGATTTGTCATGGACTGGTGGCTGGATAAGTGTCTTTGTTCTCACTATCATATTTACTTCCCAGATTTCTTTACATGGTGATGTTATGTTAATACCTGCCAATTTATTGTGTTACAGAAATTCTTACAGTACTGTGTGCTCATCTATGGGAAGAGGATGGGCAACCAACTCTCAGAAGATTCAGGACCCAGGGCCTGTAGTGTAGTTTTAGGGTCAGGTAAAATTCCTTTATACCAGGTACAGTAAATGAGAATGTCCTATAATTTTCAATTCTGATAACAGTAAGAAAAATCCAAACATTTGTGGATTATTTAAGTTCTTGGAGAGCATTTATCCTACTTTTTAGCTCAAGGATTGAGAATACTCCCTATACTTATTAGAAAAGGGATAGATTGGGACAGGGATATATCAGCAAGAAGCTTTGACTAAACAGCTAGTACAGCCTACACCAGTCTTCAGAACCCTTTTAGAGGGCATCATTATACCATTGGATGTGGCTCCTAAACCTGAGGGTATGAGGCGGATCTCAGGGAAACCAGAGTATGGTAAATCACTCCCTTCAGGATTTTAGTCATAATTGTGGAAAGAAGCTTTTGGGATCTAGGGGTCCCATTTTCTTGAGCCCAGTTGACCTACTTCGATCACTCAGCTGAGCTGGAAAGTTCAATGAGGCACAGCTGTAACTGAAAGTAAAAATGAATAGACACTGAGAACAAAACTGGAGCAGAACAGGCATCGTGGATAGACAGCAAAAGTAACCTGCACAAGGTCAGTGTAACAAAGAGGAATTTTACTTAAGAAAAACAAGAAATTTAGAGCACTTTCAAAGAGAGTTAGAAGTGAGTCCCTCTCATAATGAAGAGGTGAGAGAGACATAGACTCAACAACAGTAAAGAGCAATAAGTCCCTCTTCCACTCAGTCCAAAATTGGTTGCAACTCTTTCATTGGCCTCTCTGTGCCTCCAGGAATTATTACCCTTTTTTTATTGGTCATTAATTATCATCTCTTTGTATTGGTCATTGGTTACCTAGGTTACCTCACACCCACATTCTTATGGGCCCTCTAGCCTTCCCTGTCCAGCAGGCCAGGCTTTCTTCCCATCCCCCTTGAAGTTCCTTTCCTGTGTCCTTTCTAGTGCTTAATTCTCTCCCATGATCAACAAGTGCTGGCAATACATTATGCTTTACCTCCAGTGAAACCATTAACAAAGACCCTCTCTGACTATGAGAATGGGTCTAACAGTTAGGGGAATAATAGAAAGAAAATTCAAACAACCCGCTTCCATTGAAGCCCAAACACCTACCCTGGATAAAGGGCATGCCTAGTTACAACAAGGAAGCATTCTGGAAGTGAGTCCCTTAAGCCCAGAATTGCATGCTGTGTTATGTTTGGGTACCTATGAGCAACCAAAGAACACTTGTCTATCCTGTTCGCTCCAGTGCCTGACCTAGTAAGAGAAGCAGGTTTACTTATCTGGTTGATGACTGGTGACTTGAGCACCCGAAAGCCCTGTACTTGGACCTCTGACATAGACAGCACAGTAGTCAGTGGACTGAGTTGTTAATTGCTTAGTTAGTAATCACACATGAGCCCTGGGCCCTGGTATTTGTACTGGTAACTGTACTGTATTCAAAGACCTAATTATGTCTAGCTGACTAGAAACAAGAAAAGTGAGTATGCACAAACTTACATGGGACTTGAACATGAGGCAAGACATGGGAGAGAAGCAGCAGCATCCTTCAGCTTAATTAACTGAATTTCTTATGGCCACACATGCACCCAAAAATAAATAAATAAATAAGGCCCTGAAATAAATTTTCCATACTTTAGAGGTGTGGAGTGTGCAGTAACAGTCAGCAGTATGCAAGAGTAACACCACCTTGAAGCCAAAATGCCCTGTTGACTTATCCCACATACCAAGATGTTCTGCAACAAGGTTAATACAATGTGCATAGTATGAATAATACCCCCTGAAGAAGCTTATCCAGCCTTCCCAGTGGTCATGAGTTTCACCAGAAAGCCTAACATGTGACCAGCTATATTTGTTTCCCCTGAAAGATTGCTAAACTATTTTGTATGTTTGTATGTGGTGATCCACTATCAATTTTTTTTCTTTCAGTTCTATAAAAGTTTTCTACTTTACTTCATGCTTAAAATTTTAGAATTGTTCTATCTCTCTGCTAAATTGAGCATTTTTATCACCATAAAATATACTCCCCCTTTGTTCTACAATATTGATTTTTATTTTAAAGGCTACTTTACATAATATTATTATAACAATACTTGACTTCTTTTGGATAATATAGGGTGGCCATAAAGTTTATGTGCAATTCAAAATAGTTCACTATTTTATAGTAACTGTGTTTCCACAGTTTGAATCATTTTCCTTTCAAGCTTCCCATGTGTATATATCGAGTTGTATTTCATGTAAGGAGTATATTGTTAAAGTTTTAAAATCTTGGTTGTCAATATTAGTTCTTTACTTGATGCATTTATTCCATTTTCACTTAATATAATTTTATTCTTCCTTTCTAGAAAGTTTGTCCCCAAATATTCCCATTTTGTTCTGAAAGTCTCTTGTTAGTGCTCTTTTCTGAAATTGAATCCTGATTTTTTTAAACAACATATACATAATTAAAACATCTATACATATTTTTCCTGTTCATTCCAATATGTGCAGTCTATGTTAATTCTAAATTTGCTGCTTGCTTTTAATTAATATGTTTGTTTTGTTTTGCTAACTATAATTCATAGTCTGTTCCCATGCTTGATAATATTTCCTAGTGAACTCACTCATTCTAATTTTATTGATGGGGGTCATGCCAGCCTAAACGGGAAGCAGCTCTTCTATGAAGGTTACTTATTTTTAAAATAAAGGTAGATATAATATGTATCTTAAAGCCTTGCAGTCTTTTATGAAGTAAAATGAGGAAATGACCATAAAGTACAGTGCAAAAATGACCGTAAAGTAGTGCTAAGGAACACAACCAAGGATCACCAATTGTTACATTTCCCTTCTGACTTGAGAATCAATATATTGGTTTACCTCATTGTTTTCTGTCTCCTCATTTGGACTGTAAGTTGTATAAATTACAAAAGATTTGCTAACCTATCTACTACTATATTTTCCTGATGAGCTGTTGAGATTTTGGTATATTTAGACATGTAGTAAATTCTTATCAAATAAATGAGTAAATGGGTACCATTCAAGTAAATATGTTAAAAGACTATTCCTAAGTCTTTGATGTCAGTAGTGCTCAATATAATCTCCTGCATTTATGGATGCAATAACTCAGAGTAAAAAACCCCCCAGCAACAATATTATGAGATAATGTTTGAGAAACTTACCATATACT